ATTAGCCAAAATACCTTCATGCTATTGACATCCAGTTTAGAATAGTGAGTTGGTTCCCCTTCAACTTGTTCGGCGTGGGAACTCTCCTGGCTCTCATCCAAGACTGATTCGGAGACCTGAGTGGTCTCCATCAGCTCAGAGGCAGCTTGCTCAGATTTGGCAGATTCTTCAGGCCTCTCTGATTCTGGAGATTCAAAGAGCTTTTGAAAAGTGTCTGCGTACGTCTTTTTCGTCTTTTCCCACTCCTCCTCAGACGGCACAAGGTGTGAAATGTCGGGGATGAAGAAGACGACAACCTCCTGCTTGTCCTCGCTTATTTCCCGCTCCTCTTCCTCCTCGATCATCGTGGGAGCCTTTGTAGCCGCAGCACGATAGTAGCGGATCTCGAGGAAGCGCACCCTTAAAAGGCAAGAGCAAGATAGGCTAAGCGTCCTTACCACTCGGTTACAGATGAGAGATCTACGCCAGTGAACCCCTTGAAAGTCCTAATAGCTGTGTTAATAAGCGTTTGAGAATTGCTATCCGGGTCTGGACCATCCAGACTGGGTGACCAGGGGCCTCCGATGGCCAATGTCTCACTTTTCGACTTTCCACCGACTAAAAAGTGTATATTCTTAATAGCCGGAATCTTTTCAGAATCAACCTTCTCATCAGCAGCACGGAAGGTTTGTTTATACAAATCACCTAGCTCAGGTGAGGCAACCGGCATTATACGAACCGAATACGAGTAATCCGCATCCGGAACGTTCAGAGCATTAGTCGGATGAACATAGTGTGTTTCCACATCCTTGTGTAAAATCTGGACAGTGAAAGTAATAAACACTTAAGCAGAAAACCTACATATACGTCTGATTTAGTGGCGATCCGCATCGGCTCGTGCAACGGGAACGCTTCCTGCCACGTGAAACAAGCCTTAGAAAAATCACCGGGGATATTAAGATTGTAATGCATAAGTCGGAGCTCGGGAACCGTTGCAGACTTTAAAGTGAGCGGAAGTTTGGGGAATTTCACTTCGTAGCGACCGGTATATTGGGGCCGCCTACCAGATCTGCTATCTTTCCGTTGGTAGTTGTCATGACCGTGGGATCGCCGATCGCTAACCGGGCTTCTGCCCCTTGGACGCTTACCACCGCGATAATCATCACGCGGACGCCTGTATGCATCATCCCGATAACCTGCGCCACTATACGGCTTCCCCATCGGATTATTTGTATATATGGGCCGCCTGTCCATGGGATTAACATAGTATCCCATATTGGCACCCATCGTAGGAGCGCTGGGACCCATGTACCCCCCACCAACACTATACCCAGGACCTTGTGAAGCGCGTAAATGCATGCGAAAACACGAAATTACCATTTCGTCCCCAACTGCGACCAGCCATTTTAGCCAAGCGGAGAATTGAAACTGACACATGACTAATTCAAACAAATATTATTTAAGTTTGAACACTAATTGATATCGGTAATAAATGGTTCAAAGTATGTGAAGAATCACTATTACACATTTTCCTTATTTGTGCTGAGT